ATATATATATATATATATGAGTGTGTGTATGTATATTTATGTATGTTACCTTTTTATATGTAGAAGACATAATAGCATTAATTACTCTTGGTTCCAAATCCAATAATACAGCTCGTGGTATGTAATGTTCATCATCTGACTGATAAAAAAAGACATCCTTTCTATCCATTCCCTCTGTTGCATAATCTTCTAAAATTCCTTCTGGATTAATTCCATGTTCTGCACATAACCTTTTCCAAAATTCAAATCCAACTGCAAAGATAAACAAAATATATAAATTTACAAATATGTATGTAATTTTGTGTTACAAATATGAAAGATTTTGCATATAAAGCTACACAATGTTTTGAAGAATATCTGATCGTTTATAGGTCTTTTTTCTTTTGATTTATTCATAGAAGAATCTAGATGAACTTAACAATGTTTTGAATTTTGTAAAACTCCAACTTTGATTATCTAAAATTGTTAAAGTTAAAAAATCATACAGTTACGAAACTTATGTTACTTTTATGCCACTATTTGAATTTATATTATATTTTAAAACTTATGTTTAAAAATTAATAGTGGCATCATCTGTTGCAAAATAAAATGTAACTATTTACTTTGATTGCCACATTGACCAAGTTGCAGAGTTATCATTTCACACGGCATTTTTATATTTGAGTAAAATACTTGTCGTCGAGAGAATTTAAGAAAAGAAATTCACAATCACGACCGGCGAATCTGTAAACAAGTCGCGTTCCGATATACACAAACTCGGCAGAAACACAGGTCGCAGCCATGATATAAGACCTTAAGTCTGTTCGTTGCTTGCACTTTTTGCATTTAAGGTGCTTTTTCATGCTGATGTTCGCTCATTTTCAGTGGCTATGTTCGTTTTAGCGCTCACAACGCTTCAAGTGTCGTTTTATTCTTGTTGTTAATTAAATATTAAATAAGGATAATTAATGCTCAGTGTTGTAAGCGGCAAAGCGAACGCAGCCAGTGATAAACAGGTCACGAATTGACGAATAAGGAGAACAGAGAATAGATAGGAATTTCAACCTATCAGATATCATGTATTGTGGAATACACAGTTTCTGATAGGTTGAAATTCTTATTCTCTGTTCCTGTTTCTTTTATTGTGCGGAGCCTCTAATATGTCAATTTTTATGATTAACTATCGATTAGCGTTAATCGTGGTTGGTGAAGGAGGTCATTAATTTATTGCATCCTCGGAAGTAGTTCACTAGCAATTGTCCAATCACAGCGACTTCTGCGTAGGACGTTTTTTTATTTTCATTTTTAACGCTGTGTGATTGGCTTGTGTACAATCGATATACACCCCCACCAGCTCAAAACTTGAGGTGGAAAAAGAACAGACCTTCTATCTCATTTTAAATGCAAATATTTTTGGGTACTTCGAGCAACGTGAACAGACCTTTTGACGTAGCGATAAACGGCGGTGTAAGGTGAGGGCGGTGAGGCTGCGCTGGGCTGTTCTGGAATGCGTGAGATGTGTAGCCGATGCGGCTCACGTTTGTGATGCCTGTGTGTAACCGGCCTTCACAATTTCCGGATTCCTCGTATATTCTCGCCGGCTAGAGGTGACGAACTGTCCGAATTGCGTTATCTGATTCAACGAGGACTGCTGATCGGTCTCTGAACTGATATTCCAAAGGTATCTCGTTCGTCGCGATGCAATCGATGCGATGTCGCAGAATGATTGTGCTTGTAACGATAATCGTGTCACAATATCTTTCGTAATAAGGATGCGGCATTGCCTCGACCTGTCATTATTCTTTTAATAAGCAGGAATTGTGATAAGTGTCGTTAACACAGTGTGAAGCAATGTCACAAATGAATTTTTTCGCTTATCTGATGTATCAATACTCATGTTTATTATATCTTCGTAGTCCAAATCAATTCTCACAAATGAGCAAAAGTCAAGTATATTTTGTCTTTAACGTCTTTAATTAGCAAGTCTAATAGGAATTAAAGGATCTTAAAATCGAAGGAACCTATGAAGGTTCTAATAAAATTAATCTTTTTTATTCCTGAACTAGATAGCATTCGAATGTCCTTGCTTGTGTCGAATATTAAACATCTATTTTACTTCAATTCCAAAAATATATATTAGTTCAGTTATAGGAAGAATATTATGTCGAGTCCAATTTAACATAAGACTGAAAAATCTGGGCGACTAGGCATCTGAGATGTTTTTGTACTCCAGTGAAAATGTGAATTACAAAATATCGTTTCATATAAAATATATGTTTCATATATTCCTTTTCTGCTTTAATAACAATTATTCTTCATGAATCTTTAAATATACAATTTCATAGAAAATCCACAATAAAAAAAGTGATCTATTTTTTAGAAATGCTGTCATAACAATACAAGTAATATAAGTGGAATATTCCAGCAATATTGTTGGAATGTTCTATGCTACCTAGGAAATTATTTAATGTGCTTATTCCGTTTAATATTTGGTTACTACTTACTTTTCTCAGAAAATTATGATTAAATCTATATTCATAATATCATTATATATATTTGTGTACAACGACTTTAAAGCATACCTATACAGAATCCAAAATTCAAATTTATTAAACTTGTTTATCTTCTCTGTATCTTTTCTTTTTTATAGAAAATATGTGTTTATATAGTATATACATATATATGTTAAAAAGTATATATATATATGTAATATATATATGTGTGTAATAAAAAAGTGCAGTATGTTTGATAAGAACATTGTTGAGATTGTAAAAGATGTTGAGTTTTAAAACTACTTTACTGAGTCTAAGTTTTACTTGTTCTTGATCGGCAGTTTGTTTGCACAGAAAATGGACTCTTTTAGAGGAGACAGGAAAACTGGCAAGGATGAGGAAACTATAAAACAAGGTATAGGTCGTGGACATCGTGTTTGGTCACAATTAGACTCATGCAGGGGACTCAGGCGACCATACAGTGTATCAACTGCTAGTCAATCCAGTATAAGTTAGCATTATTTTAGTTGCAACAAAATTAGGAGATTGTTGACTATCAAGTTTAAAATAAAACCACTTATTTGTATATAGAATCTGACTCTTCATCATCTACAGTGACGACACAGCATAATCAAGAAGAGAAGAAATTTGCGCTATCGCCACAGGCAGCAGAGTTTATTCCAAAATCCATGCTGCCTCAGGTTTTTAAGTCGCAGTCTTCTTTGGTACACTCTCCTTCTGCAGAGCCTAATGTATATTTGCCTCCTGTAAGTTATCTATGCTATTTTGATTGAATCTTAAAGCATATCAACATTCTGTTATTTTGATTCTGAATAATTTGCTAATAGCAACCTACCCTCCAATATCCAAAGAGTTCCGTACAAGACAGAATCAGAATAGCTCGTGAAATACCATCAAATGTATCTGTACCTCCATCATTTGCGGATGATAGTACTCTAGGAGACATTTTGGAGCAGCAATGCAATATACAGGACACAGACGTAGGAAATTATAATAATTATGGATATGATCAAGATGATGTAAGTAATAGCAAGATAAAAGCCTAATTTCTTTTCATTTTATAAGAAATTGCTTTATATAATATTTATATATATCAATAATATTTTAAATAGAGAGAGAAGAAGCAACAAAATGAAAAGGAAGAAGCTTATAACTTAGAAACTTATGACCATCTCAATAAAATTATCAACATTTTAATTATGAATCCTGCAGAGTTCACCAATCTAGTTCCACCATTTATGGACAAGCTTAGATTGAATGGAAATATGTGTTGCTTGCAGTTGGTTATCACAACCATAATCGAATGGGTATAAAAATTCCTTTTTTTTCTCCCGAATACGTATTCGGATGACATTTAATTTTGCGCAAGACGCGTTTTATTCGTAAATAAGTATTTATCTAATACAAATTACATAGAATACTACATAATTTGCACATTACTGACTTTTATATCATTTTCAGTCTATAGCGGAAAGTAATTTTCGATATAATGGAGCCCGGTTATGTAAATATTTTGACACCAGCTTAGAAGATTCCAAAGAGATGTATATGTTTTCCAAAGAGCTATTCAGGGATTTGTTGTGCTTCCAGTAAGTTCAAGGGCATTTCATGTGATTGGAAGTATACGATTTATATACATTAACGATATTTTATATTAGATGTAAATTGGAGACCAGATTACTCGAATCTGAATGGCTTAATCAACCCGAAGAGCAACGGGATCAACGGAAATGCAATGGACTGATATTGTTTTTAGCAGAGTTGGTCGCTCAGATGGATGAGTCTTACGCTTTCATTTTAGGAGAACTGTTGGTATTGTTTATTACTAGGGTACTGCAAAGACCAGCGTCGAGTTCTGTTAAATATATATGCCAAGCGCTCAAAGTAAGTCGCAAATAATAATTCAATTTTTATCTACATTCTAACACGTTTGATGTAATGCGTAGTTGGCGGGTCACGTGTTGGAGAAAGATAAAAGCAGGAGTAAAGACATGGAGAATATGATGCGGGCACTAACGGAACTCGTGAATAATGGGCAAGTTGATACGCATGTAGGAAACATGGTAAACAGTGTTCACGAATTACGAAAAGATTGGGGTAGAAGCGCGCCCAATTGTGATTCATCTGGGTCGAGTCATGTATTATTTAATGATATGCAGCGACAATCTGATCAATTGGGTGCGTCTAATTATCATTCATCTGACTCGTTAAAAATACAGCACCAAGTACCGGAGAAAATACATTTTAACCAACCAGTGATGTATGGTCCTGACGGCTCGATTCTGTCTGCAGAGGAAAGCGAATTTCTTGAGCAGCACGCAAAAGCTGATTTAGACGATCAAGAGTACGTTATAACTTCATATCACACATTTGCTACAATGATATAAAAAAAAAATTCTTTAAAAGAACATTTCTCTACAATTTTTTTCTCTACACACACAATCAATTATTTCATCACAATTACATTTCAAAATTAATACAAAATTTTAATGATTTAAAACATTAAATTCATTTTCTAAAAAACTCTGTTTCTTAAATTGTGTTGTTTGTTGTAAATTAAGCAATATTTTAATTTTTTTCATATTTTATTAAAATAATAAAAGAGTTAGTTGAAAGATACTATTCAACAAAAATATTTATTTAAGAAATTTATGTACTAATATTATTGCATAATTTACAGGACATCTGAAGAAGAACCCGATGATAATTATGACGATGAAATTGCGACTGCTTACGAAGAGTTCTTAAGAGACGCAAAGTGCAAATAAAATTCAAACAGAATTTAATCTCGCACAAATACATTAACAAAACGAGTAACTTGGTAATAATTGTTAAATATTAAATGAAATAATTTCAATCAAATTTAATTAATATAACAAAACGTAATTAAATATGTAACTATATACTATATAATATATGTATGTGCAGAGACAAACCTACATATATATAATATAATTTTGCTTTCCTACATATCTAGTAAGTATTACCAAACATAATATGACATAATAATATAACCAACTGTTAATACTAAATATTTAAAAAAATAAAATTATTTTTGGTTATATTGGTTAACCAAACATTTGATTGAAATTATTTCACTTAACATTTGGTAACTATTATCGGACTCTTTTTTTTCAGTGCAAAATTATATTCTAGCTCAAGCATCTCATTTATAAAAAACGAATATCTCTTGTTTGAAAGTTTATGATTTTCAAAGAGATAAAGATTTGATTACATGACATTAACATGATACTCTATATCTGTATCAC